TTATAGAGGTTGTGAACCCCAGTTGTGGTCTCCTCAGAGATGCCTCGGATGCCTGAACAAGAGAGGAAGAGTATCAGAGACCGCATCTCTACTCACCTCCTCTTCATTCCCTAATGTCACACCTGACTTTCATTTCTGTACCTGACTATATAGTCCACAAATCACCCAGGCCAGCATAGGGGAGGCAATCATCTGAAGCTCTCCTACCCAAGACTCCACCACCAGGCCTAATGATTCCACTTCCCAACATCTCCCACCTGCCACTACCCTTGTATCTGACTCCTTTTCTTAGCCAATCTACCTGTTACATCTTCTAATAGTCAAGAGAAGGCTGTTCGTTCACTAGTCATGCTGGCTTCCTATATGGTCAATCCTCTCCTACCTCAGGGCATTTGCACTCACTCTTCATATCACTCTCCCCCCTGCCACTTTCAACAAAGCTGGCTCCTTTGAAGTCATTCCCAGCCCTGACCCTATACTGGCCCCTGGGTATGAGTTCAGGGGTCTCCCCCTAGTCTCTCTAGCCTCACCTCCTAAGTTAGGAGGCCAGACCTCCAGTCTGTGATAAACAGGCTTCATTTAGGCTACTGGAACCCATCCCAATTGCTCCACCCTGCTCACCTGACAGAAGCTGTGGGTACTTGGTGTGGATGAGGTTGGTTAGGTGACCACCATCATCCAGAATCATGTTGAGGGGTCCATCCTTAAAGTGAAGTGTCTGCTCAATGCACCACAGGTACTCCTCATCTGTTTCACCCTTCCAGGCGTACACTGGAAGATGAATGGCATATAAGGGCCTGGCCTTCCTGCCATCCCCTACTCCACAGAACTCCCCCAGCAGACTCAATACTCCATCCTTCCTAATTACACTCCACACATCCAAGAGGGGCACATCCAAGCCCCTCTAAGAACACATGAGCGAGAAGACCAAAGACAGACCTAAGTGCAAACCCTGGCTCTGAACTTAACAGTTGTCCTAGTTTGTTTCTTCATTGCTGTGACAAAATACTCTGACCA